TCTGGCAAGTCCAGAGGCTATCTCAGACACAGCCAGTTGCGGCCCTTCTCTTCTCCCAGTTCCAGGTGCCACCGGAATCACCACCACTCTTTGGCACTGTCCCATCTGACAAGCACTGCCCTGGCTGCGGTATCCCCCCACCCCCTGCGTGCCCCCACATCCTCCCCCACAAGACTTTGTTCAAGTCTCTCCTGGCTTGATTCTTTCCCTGTGGCCAATGGGATTTCTGTCGCTTACTAGGGACTTTCCCTGTCCACCTATAAAACCTCTTTTTACTGCCCATTTTGAAGCGTCCTCTGCTCACTTTGGCTTCCAAACTTTCTATCAGCTAAGATTCTGTTGGCTGTTCACTCTGTGCTTCAGAACATCAGCTAAGTGTCCCAGTTGGGTGCATGAGCAAGTAGGTTCAGCTCCCACCTACTTTGCTGTCATCTTCTCTCTCCTCAATTTTAGGTATGGGTAAATACACATGAATTTTAACTTACAGTTCATCAGAATGATACAAAAGTAGCATCTTTACTGTCTCATAAGAAGCCTTTATTTATGAAATGAGAACTAGGAAAAGGAAAAATGAGTTTAAGTGATAAAATGGGAAACATGAAATAAAATACAAATACTATTTTAAATTACTAAAAATAGATTAACTTCACCAATTAAAATCTCAAAATAGATATTTCAAAATATTTAATTAAATATCTATAAAGTTCTTTAAATGATGAGAATAAAAGGATGGACAAAGATGTACCAGGCAAAGATGAACAATAGCTATAAATAAATGTAGCCATCTCTACAGTTCTTTCCCAGTACAACTTATGAAAAGGCTTAGTACAGAAAAGCTGAACTAACTCACTAGAAAGTTTTCTTATCTGATAAAACTTAGTAGTAATTTCTGATTTGAAAACAAGGTTAAAATAAGTACTGGGTGACATCATCTATTACAGAAATGGAATGACTATAATCAAGGCATTAGAAAGTTCTTGTACTCTTTAGAAAAAGTAAATTAGAAAATTTTAGATTAGAATTCTAGAAATAGATTAGAATTCATAAATGTTAAAAAATTAAAGATAATCAAAGAGGAGGGTATATATAACTTACAAAAGAAAGAAATCATAATGTAAAGAAAATACTTCAGTAGATACCTGGGCAGAACTACAATAATTAGAGTAAATACAAAGCATAAAATAGAGAGTCAGAAAAAGCTCCAAATAGTAACACCAGTAAATTAAATACACCAAACCAAACAGTTAAAAAATAGATTATGAGTTATAAAAAATAAAATAAAATTTAAGTATAAAATAAGAAACAAACTTAAAACATGAACACAGTATTAAAAATAAAATGTTAGAATAAAATTGTATCGAAAAATTTATTTTTGCTATCATACATTTTCCTAGGTCTTTCAGGCAACTCTTATTAAGATTTCCCATCCAAAATATTTTTTCCATTGCTATAAATTAGTTTTACCTTCTTTAAAAGGTTTGTAGATATGTATTCTTTGGTATTTTGATTATGCAACATATTCACCTATGTTTCATATATCAGGAATTTTCCACCTGTACTTCACATATCAGGAATTTTTCCCATTGTGTACACACACACAGAATTGTGACTACAACTTTGTGTTTACCTCATTTATTGGTGAATATAAGGGTTGTGTACTGTTTTAAACTCTTGTGAGGAATCCAGCTATCCCAAGCATTCTTGTTTGTGTAATTTTTTATACATATATTTTTATTCTTTGGGTAAAACTTATCAGTGTAGTTACTGTGTCACAAAGTAGATATGTCTAACATCATTAGGAATTATCAAACTTTTGGCACTTTAAAAAAATGTATCATTTTTTTCCTGCGTTATTTGTGATGATAAACTCAGATGTCATCCTATTGTTATTCCTTCATATTTAATGTACTTTTTTTCCACTGGCTGCTTCAAGATTGTCTGTCTCTCTTTTTTTTTTTTTTTGGTCTAGCAGTTTGACTATGATGTTCCTAAATATTTATATTAATCCTGTTTGGGATTTTCTGCACCTTTGGGCCTGTGTTTCATTGTTCTTTATCAAATTTAGGAAATTTTTGGCCAGTACTTTTTCAAAAAAATTTTGTGCTGCAATTTCCCTTTTTCTTTTGAGATACCAATTATATGTTCTTGAATATTTGATATCGTCTCATGGATTCCTCATACTGTGTTCAGGTTTTTTTCTATTTTCTTTCTGTTCTTCAGTTTGGATCATTTTTATTTATCTGATTTTAAGTTTTTTATGTCATTTCACAGTTTCTCTTAAGCCCATATGAATGTTTTATTTCGGAAAATTTCAGTTTTTAGTTCCAGAATATCTATTTGATTCCTTTTTAGTTTCCATTTCTTTCCTGAGATTTCCTGTTGGTTAACTCAGTAAGATCATCTCCTACTTTAAGTCATTGACCATTATGATATCTTTTTAAAATTTTTATTTTATTTTAGTTTTTACATTAGCTTTTAGTCCCCTTATACTCCCTGCTCCCAGGAATCACTGCACTGTTTTTAATGTCCATGAGCCTTTTTCTTTTCTATTCAACCCTCCCTCCCCTTACCCTCCCTCCACCAGCTAGCCATCATCCTGCTCTCCATCTTTGAGTCTGTTCCCACTTTCCTTGTTAGTTCAGTTTGTTCATTAGATTCCACATATGAGTGAAATCATACGGTATTTGTCTTTCTGTCACTGGCTTATTTCACTTACCATAATTTTCTCCAGATCCATCTACTCTGTCACAAAGGGTAAAACTTTTTTTTTTTACAGCCAAGTAGTATTCCATTGTGTAAATGCCCCACAGTTGTTTTATCCATTCATTTACTGATGGACACTTGGGCTGCTTCCATATCTTGGTGGTTGTAAATAACACTGCAGTGAACACAGGGATGCTTATATTCTTTCGAGTTAGTGTTTTATGGATATATTCCCAGAAGTGGGATTGCTTTTGTGATAATTCCCACAAGTGGACAGTATTGGAATCTGATGCTGTTGGAATGGATCAGAGTTGTTGAGCTCAGGGCTTCATTTTCCAATCTGACTGATCAGTTGCAAATGTTCAGTATACTATTTTTATGTCTTTTTAATGTTTAAAATATTTAATAATTGTTGTTAAAATCATTCCATAGAGGGAAATAAAGAAGTTATAACATGTATAAAAGAGCCATTTTGTTTGCAGGGGAGATGCTCCCCAAAAAGAGAAGAAAGTTCCCTGTGAGCATTTTACAGTGTAGAAGAATTTAAGAACACGAATCCCATAAAGCAATACCATACATTTGAGAATATAAAATATCAGTATGATATTGGAAATAGGTATTGAACTATGAAAATAGTAGAGGTATAAAACAACACACGTATGAGCTCAAGAAGTAGAGGCAAGAGCTGAAAATTGAGTTACTAATGTTGAGGAAAGGCTTGAGATGATTGTTTCAATATGCAGAAGAAAAGAATGGGTATAGAAGATAGAAAATGATAATTTGTCATAGGGAAATTGGAGTCCATGACTTAGGAACTTAATAAATGAAATTCTATTTCACTGAATGTCTTAGCACCTTTGTCAAAATTTAGTTGCTTATAAATGTAAAGGTTTGTTTCTGTACTCTTAGTTTCTTTCCATTGATCCATTTATCTATCATTATGCTCATACCATATTGTCTCAGTTACTGTTTCTTTGTAGTAAGTTTTGAACTCAGGAATTGTGAGTCCTCCCACCATCTGCCTCTTTTTCAGTGTTGTTTTGGCTATTAAGGGTCTCTTGCATATACATATTAATTATAGGATGAGTCTATTCATTTCTGCAAATATAGGGCAGCTGGAATATTAAAAGAGGTTGCATAGATCTGTAAGTCAGTTTTGGAATCATTGCTATATCAACCTTCATTAAGTTTTCCAATCCATGAGTGTGGATGGCATCCCATTTACTTATATTAAATTTCTTTTAATGATGTTTGTAGTTTTCATTATAGACATTTTATATGTTTCTGTTAAATTTATTTCTTTTATATTGATGTTAATGGAATCATTTTCTTAATTTCATTTTTGATTGTTTATTGCTATAGTATAGAAGTACAATTGAATATTGATCTTATATCTTGTAATTTTACTGAACTCACTTATTACTCCTAATAGTTTTTTTGTGGGTTACTTAGGATTTTCTACATACAAGGTTGTTATATTGAATAAGTATGCTTTCACTTTTTCCTCCCAGTGTGTCTTACCGACAATAAATGGTTTTTTGTGTGTGTATGTGTGCTATGAAAATTGATAGCCATATGCATATACTGCTTCAATGTTTATTGGATGATTTGAAGAAAATTATAACTTGAAAATATTGGCCATTCTTAAGGAAGCAATTTTTCATCTTTGATTTTCAGTGGGTTTTTAAAAAAGATTTTATTTATTTATCTCCAGGGGGAAGGGAAGGAGAAATGGAGAGAAATATCAATGTATGGTTGCCTCTCCTGTGTCCCCTGCTGGGAAGTGGCCTGCAACCCAGGCATGTGCTTTGACTGGGAACTGCAGTTGTTTGGTTTGCAGGCCTGCGCTCAATCCACTGAGCCACACCAGCCAGGGCTGATTTTCAGTGTTTTTCTATGTAAGATTAATTGATCTCTAAAATCTGTAGTCCATGTTAATATATTTATTGCTGAAACATGATACAAAGGAACCATTAGGACTGTTTGAATGTTAAGCTAAGTTACAAGCTTCTATACTTCTAGACCTTCAGCTCAGTAACCCTTGTATTACCTGATAATGTTTAAATGAGAGAAGAAAGAAAATAATTTATTATTAAATTCCCAAGTGGGTTGATTATTGGTTAAGTCAGATTTGTAAGTAACAGACATGGGACTTGGTTCATATTATTATTTAGATGTTTCTGACATGTTTAGCAAATATTGACTATCAAAATACATTAATTTCATGTCTTTAGAAATTGTTTCATGGTTAGTTTTTCTTAGCATTGATAATGAAATTTTGCTTTTTATAATGCTAGGTATAACCCGGAAAAACCCCAGAACACCTCTTTCTGACCTCCAGGGCATGAATACCTTAAATGACAAAAACCAGCAGTAAGTATGTTTGGATTATGTTTTCAAGTGGGTATAAAAGAAATAACAAATTCTTATAAATACTTTTGTGGCTTAAAGAAAAGCAGGTTTAGTTTGCCTTATATTTCTTAAAGGTTTTATAAATGATTCTATAAATTAATAAGGTTAGAGTTAAAAAAACTATTAGGACTAAATTATTTAAGATTACCTCTGGTAAAATGGTTTTATAATTAAAAGCAGGTTTTCCCAGAATACTTTAAAATGACCACATATGTTTTGATTTCTGAGACCCTTCTTGCATTCTATGTCTGGTTATTCTGCTGCTCTCTGTGGAGAATCTTATTGGTAAGTAATTATCGAGTAGTTTGACTTACATTAAACCATTGAATACCTTTTCTTGCTGAGTGTGATAATCAAGGTTTATCTTTTAATCAATTTTAATGAATTCCTGAGTAGAATTTGAAAATAAATAACAAGTATAATTTTCTCGGTTTATAAATAATGTCATTTGTTCTTGCCACATATTCTTTCATAAAGATTATCATTTATATGAGCAAAAGATCAGTTTTTAGTGTCTAGCTAGAATCTGCTTTCCTATGTTTAATCATCAAGTACATTGAGCTTTTTGGTACCTTGGTTATAAGGATGGTCTCTCATTAAAATTAAAGGATAATTTTATTGATTTTTTCTAATATGTGTTACTATATTTTTCCTTTTTAAAAAATTTTTAAAACAATATTTTATTGATTATGCTATTGCAGTTGTCCCAGTTTTTTCCCTTTTGCCTCCCCCCTCTACCTAGCACCCTGTACTCCCTCAGTCAGTCCTCCCACCATTTTTCATGTCCATGGGTCACACATATGAGTTCTTTGGCTACTTCATTTCCTGTACAATACTTTACATCCCCATGGCTATACTCTAACTACCGATTTGTTCTTTATAATGTCCTCATCTCTTCACCCATTCCCTGACATGTACCTCCTATATGACAGCCCACAAAATGCTCTCCATATCCATGATTCAGTCTCTGTTCTTGTTTGCTTAGGCAATTGTTGATAGATTTGCATTTTTGCCATTTTGTTTTTCATAGTTTTTACCTTCTTTTAAATAAGTCCCAATAACATTTCATATAATAATGATTTGGTAATGATGAACTCCTTTAGTTTTTTCTTGTCTGGGAAACTCTATCTGCCCTTCGATTAAAATGATAGCTTTGCTGAGTAGAGCAATCTTAGCTGTTCTCTGCTTTTCATGACTTTGAATAATTACTGTCAAACAGCAAAGCCTGCAAAGTTTCTTTTGAGAAATCATATGATAGTTTAATGGGACCTCCCCTGTAGGTAATTAACAGGTTTTCTTTCTCTGCTTTTAAGACTCTCTCTATATATTTAACCTTTGGCATTTTAATTATATGTCTTGGAGTGGGCCTCTTTGCATCCATCTTGTTTGGGACTCTGTGCTTCCTGGATCTGTATGTCTGTTTTCTTCACCAAATTAGAATAGCTTTCTTTCATTATTTTTCCAAATAGAATTCTTTCTTTTTCTCTTCTTTTTCTTCTTCTGGCACCCATATGATGTGAATGTTTTTACGCTTGAAGTTGTCCCAGAGGCTACTTACACTATCCTCAGTATTTTTTAATTTCTTTTTTCTTCTTGTTGTTCTAATTAGTTGGTTTTTTTGCTTTCTTATGTTCCAAATCATTAATTTGATTCTCATCTTCATCCACTCTACTGTTGTTTCCCTGTAAATTGGTCTTTATTTCAATTAGTGTACCCTTTGTTTCTGACTGGATTTTTTTTTTTTTTTTTATGCTTCTGAGGTCCTTACTAAGTTCTCTGAGCATCCTATAACCAGTGTTTTGAACTCTGCATCTGATGGATTGTTCATCTCCATTTTTTATAGGTTTTTTTCTGGAGTTTTGTTCTGTTCTTTTATTTGGGCTATGCTTTTTTGTTTCCTCATTTTGGCAGCCTCCCTGTGTTTGTTTCTATGTGTTAGGTAGATCTGCTGTGACTCAGTGTCTTGGTAGTATGGCCTAATGTAATATGTGTCCTGTAGGATCCAGTGGCACAGCTTCACCTGTCGCCGAAGCTGGGTACTTGAGGTGCACCCTCTTGCACATTGAATACATCCTCTTCTTGTAGTTGAGCCTTGGTTGCTGTTAGCAGATCCATGGAAGGGATTTACTAGGGCCAATTTTTTCTTGTCTGGGAAGCTCTTTATCTGCTTTCAGTTCTATATGACACCTTTGCTGGGTAGAGCCTTCTTGGCTGTAGATCCCTGCTTTTTATGAATTTGAATATTTCTTGCCAGTCACTTCTGCAAGGATTGGCTATGACCACTTACCACCAACCTCTGCCCTTCATGGAGGATCAGCTGTTCAGGGTCTGGGTGCCTTGGCTCTGGATTTTCCTTGGTGATGCAGGCCAAGGTCAGCCCCCACCTGTGTTTTCCTAGGGGTGATCCTTCCTGAGCTGTAAAGCTATGTGAGGTGGTTGTTCCTTCTGCTGGGCTTGGAGATTCTCAGGGGAAGCCAAGCTGTGAGTCTAAGCTGGCTGCTGCTAGTGCTGGTCCTGGGGCTCACTGAGACTACCTGGGGCTTGCTTGATAGGGTTGAAGTTGTGAAGCTTGAGCTGAGATCAGCCATTCATATGGAAAAGCAGCTTGGTTGGGCCCATCAGTTGGGTGGGGAGTCATGTCTGGGGATATCCAAGGTGTGTCAAACAGTGTTCGCCAGGTTGATGGAGTCTCAGATATGGCACCAGCACATTGGCTATTTGATTCTCTAGGGAGAGATTTTAGAAAAGGGACAATGGCTTCTGCTTGCCTTGATGCCAGACATTTCAGTTTCTCCCTGTATGTCACTGGTACCTTTCAAGCTGTTACTCTGCTGCTAGAGTTCATAGGAAGAGAGTCTGAGTGAGTCTGTGTTTGTGTTCTTTAAGAGGAACTCCTTAGGGCTCCAGCAGTTTCTTCCAATGAGTCAATCCCTGGTGGTTTTTGCAGTCAGAAGTTGTGGGGTCTTACCTTCCTGGCCCTGAAACCTTGGGCTGTGGGCCCTGGTGTGGGGCTGGGACTCCTCATTCCTGAAATATCCCTCTTGAATTTGTATCCAACACATATGGTTGTGAGACCAGCCTGTCTGCACCTGCGTTCTTCCTACTAGTCTGGATGGATGTGGTTGCTTTAATTCTGTTATTGTCAGACTTTCACTGAACTCGATTTCTGATGGTTCTGAGTGAGGGTTGTTCTGTATTTCAGTTGTCATTTTGATATGGTTGGGCCAAGTGTCTAGCCATGTCAGTTTTCACTGCCACCTTGACTGGAGGTTCGGTATATTAGTATATTTTTCTAATGTATGTAGTCACTTCCTTGCTCAATAACTTTTTTATAACTCTTTGTTGCTTGTTTAAAGACATCTAGGTTCACCCGTCTCACATGTAAGACTGGTCACAGCCCAAGTATCCAATCTCGACTATTTTATCATAAATTCCACCAAATTGAACTACTTGTTCTTTTTATAGTATATGCATTTTCTTAACAGTGATACTTGACTAACAGTGAAATTCATCTTATATTTTTGTGTTATATTTTACACAAGAACAAATTAGATCATTAATCTGGTGACCTGTGTACCTTCAGTGCAGTTTGTTGGCAGTCTGTTGACAGGCAAACCATGCAGTGTTGGTTCCACACTACTGCAATAAAGCAAATATTGTAATAAAGTGAGTCACATAAATTTATTGATCTCCCAGTGCATATAAAAGTTATATTTAGCTCTGGTTGGTGGGGCTCAGTGGATTGAGTGCCGCTTGTGAACCAAAGCGTCACTGGTGTGATTCCCAGGGAGTGCACATGCCTGGGATGCAGGCCAGGTACCCAGGTCTTGCAGGCTGGGCACATGAGAGGTAACCACACAGTGATGTTTCTCTCCCTTTCTTTCTCCCTACTTTCCCCCCTTCCCTAAAAGTAAATAAATAAAAATATTTTTAAAGAAGTTATGTCTATACTATGCTTAGTCTATTTAGTGTTCAGTAGCATTATTTCTAAAAACAATGCACATACCTTAATTTAAAATTTGCTTTGTTGCTAAAACATGGTAACCATCATCTGAGCTTTTAGTGAGTCATAATCTATTTGATGGTGGAGGGACTTACCTTCAATTTGTTAAAAATGTAATATTTATAACAATGAAGTGAGATATGCTTGTATTTTCACCATGGTCATTAGAGATTCTTAAGTTAAGGAACCTATTTTTTTGATTTGGTTTAAAAAACAAAAGGATACTATGGCTTAATAACCATTTCCCAAAGCAATTTAATGGTTATAATTCTCTTAATTCCTAGCTTGTGTCTTTTTATACTTTACATTTTGGATACCTGAAGTAATACAGGCTTTCTGTGTTTATACATAGTTGGAATAGTCTAATATGAGTATTTTGGTTTAAGATTGATTGTGTTAGTCTGGACTCGTATGAGACCCTTCTTTATAGAGAACTCGATCAAATCAGCCTGATTATTTTTCTTTGTGTACAACAAGGAAAGATCTGTGTCTCATTGAAGTACTGTTATTTGGAAAAGGCTAGCTGGCAGCCTTAACAAGAGGATTCTTCCAGATGTATTTATTGTATTGATGAATTTATTTTATACATATTCTAGAGAAAATTGGTGAGAAGGGGAAGAGAATGGGGTATTAGATACTTATAAGATCAGGTCATCCATGAAGTCATTAGCTACCAAGTGAAATCTCTTGTGTCTTCCCTATATAATTCTCCTAGTAAGTGACTCTTAAATAATAAAAGAGTGAAGCGTCTAGTTTGGTGGTGATCTAGGACTAATAATTAATGCAGTCCATATAAAAACAATGACATGCAAATAGTAAAATTGATTTTAGTTAGTGCAAATATTCCTCAGGTGAAAGAGAAAACTTTCATTAATGTTGAGAGGGCAGGGTTGATGTTGTTGGTTTTTTTTGTAGAGTATAAACTGAAAATAAATGTATTTATATCAAAGAAAGATTT